CAAGGACGTGTTACCTTGTTTTAGGGTCGGGTTACGGGTTTAGGGCTTGGTTTATCATAAGCAAAAAAACATAAACATCTTTGAGGACACCCCTGCTTAGAGCCTCCTCCTACCCTCCATCACACGTGCGTGACCATATACCCCTGTTTTACTTGTACCACGAGGCTGCTGGTAACCCTACATCCTAAACCAAGCCAAAGACAAACCTCATTGAAGCAGCGCGAGCGCCTCCACTAGCTCCGTCTGTCAGGTTCAGGCGACCCCGGATCCAGTACCGAAGGCAGCCGAGGTGGACGAACCTTGGGCCATGTGATCCATGACGTGGTTTAGGGTTTAAGGTCGTAGTCTAAACTCCTGGTATCACCAGTAACAACCCCCAAAGAAATATTACTCCCCCTATAGGACCCCATTGAGGGAGTTTAGACTATATAGCTCATTTGTTTAGAGTTTTGGTTTTACGGTTTCTGGATGTCATCAAAGAATATGGCTGAAACATCTAGACCCCAATGGCCTAAGTACCAGATGTCGGCTTTTCTTGGGAAATGCGAAACGGGACCGATAGATATTGTGATAGCCCAAGGAGGCCCAAGCCCCAAGCAGTTAAGGGTTTAGGGTGTCTTTTCCTTGCATGGTTGCAGCATGACGCACCCCAGCATTTCTTCACTCCTAAAATCTGGGAGTTTCTCAAAACATTTTCTGCGTGCACCCTAGCAAGGAACCCATAATCCCTGTAAATCCCTAGGGTCCCTAGGGTAGCCTTTTTTAGGAATCTCCCATAGTAGAGTTGGCTTTGGCTTGTGCGTGAGACCCAGGCTCGCGTCAGTTTTAGCTAGGATATTTAGGATTTAAGATTTAGTGGTTAGGCTTTAGGATTTAGGGTTTAGGGGTTCAGGGCTGGAGCAGGTGGCATTCACTGAAAAACCTACACGCAGAAAACATCAAGCATCAGGATTCGAGGAAGACCAAACCAGAAACCAGCCCAAGACCCTAAACCTTGAACCCTAAGCCCTAAACCCAGTTGCTTATATAAACGGCTTCCGGTGGCCCATGGCTTAAGGGCTCGAGTCCACAATAGGAAGCAAGCCCAGGAAGAGGTTGGAGGTTGGAGGCTTTGTGTGGTTTAGGGTTCAGGGTTCAGGGCTAGGGTTTCGAGAATACCGTTTAGGCTTTAGGAACTGTAGAATCTACATATGGGTGTTTGTGAAAGTTATAGTCTTTACTTGGGGTATCATGAACATGTCATTGGACGTCTTTGCTGGGGGCCCGAAGAGGCCGCAATTTTGACAAGCACCCATGTGACAAATGGCTTTTATTTTGTGGTCCGCTCCGCTCAACGGGACACCCAATATATACTCGAGGGTTTAGGGTTTCAACTTTGGGTAAATCCTTGGCATGCGCCTGTCTGAGGCAGTGACTCAATCGAGCCCTTGCAAAGGCATGGCGTGATCAGCGGGTCTTCCTGTCAACACTTGCTCCACCCTAAACCCTATAAACCCTAAACCCCAAACCCAAAACCCTAAATATATGTGCTCACCTTCATGTCATGGGTTCCTCTTCTACCCACCCCATAAAATTGCCCCTTTATTATTATTTGGCTAACTTAAGGATACATAAGGCCAATCAAGGGGAACCAAGCGGGGCATTATAGGAAGGGTAGTAAGGGAACCCATGATTACCTTGGGAATGGGTGGACGGGCTCTAGGGGCTAGTACAGGGACTTCTTGGTGGGAAGCCATAAGAATAACAAAGTATGAGTAAGACTCAACACTAAACCTTAAACCACGAGAGATTTCAGTCTTGACCTGAACCAATCCTAAGCCCTAAAGCTACAACTTCCAGGGTGCTTTGCCCTGAAGGGTGCACGGCCACTGTAAACCACAAACCCTTGCCGTAAACCCCACCACCTATGGCTTAGAAGACTGACCGTCCTAGTGGATATACCTTTAAAAAACTGTAGGCAATAGGACTTACAGGTTGACCCTAAATCTCTTATCCCCTGAAAATCCCTAAGCTCTAAACCCTAAATCCCTAAGCCCTAATCCCGAAGCCCTAAATCCCTAAGCCCTAAACCCTGAGATCCTAAACCCTAAATCCCCCAACCCTAAAACCCCAAAACTCAGGCTGGCAGTGGCTTAGGGTGGTGACTTGTCGTGATCTCGAGAAAGGGCTATACCAGGATTCTCAAATTTTGCAAAATTCAACCCCAAACCATCTAGAATAATACCCAAGCTGTTTAATCTAGAATAACCGGGCTGAGGGTTTAGGGTATTTAATTCAGAATAAAGAGGTTTTGGGTTCAGCTTATGAATCTTGTTTTGCACCTCGGCTTTACAGACTTGGGAATAGTGATGCCGCAATATGCAGACGAAACCTTGTAGCGCACTGACTCCGGTCGCCATTTTGCACAGGGTCATTCAGGGCTAGATATGTGGCAAGCATGTGATGACCATGGAAACTACTGCATAAGGGACACTGCACAGGGGACTGCTAGATAGGCGACTACCACAGGGATGGATCCCTTCCTCCGTTCCCTAGTGACAGCCAGTAAGCAAAGCGCTCCTAAACCTTAAGCCCAAAACCCCTAAACCTTAAACCCCTAAACCCTAAACCCCCAAACCCTGAACACTAAACCCCTAAACTCCTAACCCTAAACCCCTAAACCCTAAGCCCCTTCAGGATGAGGTCACTGTGTCCTAATAGCAATTTAGGATGTAAGGTGCGCGGCCCTTGGGCAAAAACGCAAGAGTTGGACTCCTATGAAGATGCTTTGCGGAATTAATTTTGTATATGCATCTCTTTTTTTTTTATCTTAATACTGCTATGACTAGTTGAAATATGTTCTTAAACCTACTATCTTTACTCTTGCTGTTCTCGATCTTATTGCTATTGTTCTTCTTCTGGTTACCCTAAACCCTACATCACCTAGAGCCATACCCCAAACCTTAAAGCGCCAAAGCCCCAAACCCTTCAAGACATGCTTGGGTCCTCCGTAGAACCCTCCAGTAAGCAAATTCGGCAGAGAGTGGACCTCGGTGGAGTTTTTGGGGTTAAGGTAAAAGCTTGGGGTTCAGGGCTTAGGTTCCATGGTTCGGGCCCTAAACCCTAAACCTTGAAGGGTTTAGGTTTTTGGGTTTGTGAAGTAGGGGTAATGGGGTTTATGTCACGAATTCCGGGCTGGGCGTGGTGAGGAGGCCATTTGATTCAAGTGTAGAGCTTCCCTGACACAAGGTCTAGGGTTTGGGGTATGGGGTTTAGGATTTGGGTGAAGGGTTTAGGGTTTGGGGTGTACGGTTTAGGATTTGGGTGTAGGGTTTAGGATTTGGGGTTTAGGGCAAGATAATTTGGACACAGCCGTGATACCAGGCCGTTTCGGCATGACGTACTTGGAAATTGTCAGGGTGACTGTCCAAATTAATAGTGGCAAACATGTAGATTGCCATTTACTGATCCGAGTTAATCCCTAAACCCCAAACCGTGGAAACCATAGGCCTTGACCCTGGGATCCTGATGTACCGCCTAAGTATTGGCAACTCTCAGGGCCGGGGGGGGGGACTGTGCTTTTGGGGTTTGGGAGATTCCCTACCTTGTTCTGGGGCTGTGTGGGGTCCATGGACAACCCTACACCCTGAACCGTATGATGAGCCAAGGGAAGCCAACCATGACGCCATCCAATGAATTGCTGGTCGGTTTGGGGTTTCGGGGGCTTAGGGTAACGGATGTACCCGTGATGAAGAAACGAGCATGTTGTACCTAGAATCGTGGAGAACCTTGGGATCTCTACCTTGGCTGACGGATTTGGGGTATTCAAGCAGGAGAACATGTTTCCGCGCACTTTGTCTCCACATCCCTCAACCAAGTTCTTCTGTGTCATTATATTCAACACCCATGCACCCTGATTTTCAATGTCGCCCTTTTCATCTCCCAAGGTATTTTGGGCTACTAAAAGGCATATTGAATGGTGATTCGCAGCTGTATTCAGAAGCTGTCCGACTGCTTTGGGTTGAACGCCAGCGCCCGCAGCGCCAAGGCGCCATTAAGGATGTAATTCGCAGCCAAGCTGCACTTGCCCCGTCTGCCAGGTTGCGTGGACAGAGAAAACACGTATGTCAGGGCTTGCCCCAAAACAATTTCTACGACCCTGTTGTGGCTACAGTAGAGCCAGCAATCGCTCGCGTAATCCAACAGTTCCAGGCGATTCTGCTGCCTGCAATGCGGGACTGCATCCATAGCTGCTTGGGAGGGGGAGTCACTTCAACTTCTAAACCCCTAAACCAGACCCGAGATTAATAACCCTCTCCCCTTCATGGGGATTATAAAGAGGGATCCTTATGTTAAGGCCCTTAAAGCGAGCGGAGCTTATCCATCGGCAGTTCACATTAAACCACTGAAGCTTCAAACTCTTTTCGCCTTTGCTGGTTCAATGCTGGAATTTGTGGCGGCTTTCTTCTCGAATATGGCTCACCCATATGGTTCGCCCCATGTGGAGAGCAAGAAATGCATCTATTATTGGCTTCATGGTGGCCCAGTTGCGCAAGGCATTGTTGTAAATCAAGGAGCTATGTGTTTTTCGCTGCTGGCTGTTGTGATTCAACGCTTTTGCAATGCCGTCACGTCAACCCTAAACCCTAAACCCTATAAACCTTGAACCCTAAACCCTTAAACCCTAAAACCCTAAACCTTCACCTCTGCCCCTTCCGGCCCCTCAGGCCCCAGCGCTAAAGCCTCATGGTCCAAAAGCGCCGGACAACCTCGGCATCAAGCGCAGGCAATCCTGGGTTACTACTATACTACAATGGGTTTAGGGTTAAGGGGTTGACGGTAGTTTGGCACAGCGTTTTCATGTGAACTGTGAAGCCGTTCTGGGGGCCGCTTCGGCGCTCAAGCTGGCAATAGACCCAAACCGTTTCCAGACCGCAAGTTGCGCACCTAGCCTCCGTTGCTGGACTGTGCTCGCACGACATGTTTGAAATCGTTTTTGCGTGTTGCATACAACAATCAACAGGGATTTGTTCTTACCCACGGATGCAAGTCCTGGAAAGCATTCATGTAGGAAGCTGCGAAAATGGTCGCCTTCTTGGCCATGTCGGAGTGTACCGCGGCAGTATCTTAGATTTCTTCCAGGCTTACATGACCATCCTTGTCTTTGTCCAATCCCGAAAGTCTTACACAATGCCATGTCGAATTTCCTTTTCCATTTTCTGGTTTAATTGGCTCTCCGTAAATACAACAGCTAACAAGTCCAAAGAGGTTCCCTGATTAATCAATCCCTATACTACTCTCCTTGAAGTTTCCCCGAATCAGGCTTGGTCAGGATGTTTGTGGCATGTGACCAAACCCTAATACCCCCCAAACCCTAAACCCTAACCCCAAACCTCCTAAGCCCCAAACCCTAAATCCTAAAACACTAACACACCACGCCTCCCCCCTCCAAGAAAAAAAAAACACCTAACTTGTGGGTCCCCGGCAGGCGCCCCCGGTGTCTTCCAGGCGGAGCTCCGGTTGGGACTCGGCCGAAGAGTTACTGGAGAAGGTCAGGGTTTGGTTGTTGATTTTAGGGTTTGGGGTCTAGGGTTTCGTGTTTATAGGTTCAGGGTTTTGTTGAGGCGCAGCGTCACACATCTTCTCTTGTGCCGGCCCCAGCTGAGGGAGGTTTAGGCGGTTTCGCGTAGGTTTAGGGCAGCTTCGGGTTCAGGGGAACTTCATATCATTAAATGACCGCGGGTTCAAGCATCAGGAATTACGGCTTAGTATGTAGGTTGGGGTGGTTGACAAGCTTTGTTTAAGGTTTAGGCTTGGCTTGTTTTGGTGCCCGGGGCAAGAAGTGGTCAAAAAGTGTAAGAGAGATATCGAATAAGTTCTGCTACCGATCCTGCTTTCTAGATCTTGGCCTATGAAGATACTGATGCTCCGATGCGTGGCTTACGCCTAGTACTGACTGCTTAAGTATATGAGGTACAAGTAGGATCTGTATTCTGGCTTTGGTTTATGTGAGTGGTTGTCAAAATCATGATCCCTTTTGGGGTACCCTAAATATTAGGTGCCGTATCATAATAGGGATCCAAAAGGGGACCATAATTTTGACAACCACCCATGTGTGTGTTGGGTTCCTAGCGAACATTGGGGATTTTGAGGCTTTGGCTCCCCCAACAACCCATCAGGAATTGTTAGCCCTTCTACATTCCAACAATACCCTCCTGATAATACCCCCAGCCCCCAGCCTCCATAACAATAAATACTTCCATGGCATCATCGTGTAACATTTTTGGATCGTTCTTATGGAAGGGTTGTTTTTCTTAAAGGAGTGTGTTCTTTCAACACATGCGGTCCCCTGAGTAAGTGAAGGAAGCATGACGCCCTCGCCGGGGCCCGCGCTGCCATGTTGGTGCCCAGCTGGCGAACTTTGAATTTGAAACGACCTGCTTTGGG